TGTTGTGTGTCTAGAGGTGTGGGTTCAGTGAAATGCATGACGCAACCAAAACAAACTAGTTCACGGCACAAACGTTTATTTCTAACTAACTAGTAAGACAGCAGCGATGTGCTATTTACGCAGTTACATTACATTCTACTCTACTCTCGTTTACAGAGGTTCTCAGGTATAAGAGTACTGATTCTCTCGAAATCAGATGCTACATCCCTCCCCACTTATTTAGAGATTTAATCGCTGAGGAGCTTTGCGGATGCACGAAGATCGTCTAAGTCCTGGCTGAGGTTGCTGCAACTCTTTATCAGGATCCACTGGAAGGACTGGATCAGTTTTCCTTGGAACTGACGATGTTTCAAGTCCGGCTGAAGTTTGCACAGCTTCTTTGTTCACTTCTTTGTTCAATGTCCTTGTCCGGAGCCTGTGGCTTCACGATTCCATCTGAAGTAGCAGCCATAAGAGGTTCATAGATTACTGGTGCAGAAGGAACCTCGCTCCCTACCGATCTGATCTGATCGACGTGCCAGCGCAGTAAAGTTCCTTGAGCATCAATGGTATAATGCAGCGCTCCATCCTTATTTGTCACTCTGCCAATTTTCCATCAAGGAATTTGCCGAGTCTATAATTCCCGAATGGCAAACCTTTTCTCTGATCTCAAACTTTCTGTCTTTGAAATCATAAGTATTCCTTTCGGATGCGTTCTTCCACTCTTCGTTTAAGATTTGGAACAACTAAATCAATTCGAGTTCTAATTTCTCTTTTTAAGAATAACATTGCTGGATTTAACAAGGTTGTCATGTTCGGTGCCTTTCTATAATTCATGAGGAATATGGCAAGTTTTTGCTTAATATTTGTTGATAATCTTGCATTGCACGTAATGCTTGTTTAACGGTGTAAACATACCGCTCTGCTTGCCCGTTACTTGCCGGTTTAAATTGAGCACACGTTTTCTGTTTAATTCCATTATTCCTTATAAAAGTTTCAAATTCCCCCGATGTGAACTGAGGACCATTGTCACTCACCACTACTAAAGGCAGTATCTTGCAAAACAGTCTCTCAAACATTCAATTGTCTGAAAGGAATTTGCTGACTTAAGGTATACACTTCTAACCATTTAGAATGTGCGTCCAACGATAATCAAGGACATTCGTTCAAAAATAGGGCCTGCAAAATCTACGTGAATGCGTTCCCAAGGCGCACTTGGATATTCCCAGTGATGGACCCTTGCCCTTACTGGATCTGATTTGAACTTAATACAATCGAACACAGTTCCTAAAAACTTCTTCAATATCATGATCAATTCCCTTCCAAAAAAAAAAAAAAAAAAAAGACGCAGGATCTGGCGATTGCCTTCATTTTAACGATTCCTAAATGTCCTTGGTGTAACTCTTCAAGAATTTTAACTCGGAGTTTTTTTGGAACAACTACCCTCTGACCACTCATTATACAGTCATCTTGTAAGGTGTACTCGGCTTCCCTACCTTCCAAACTTTCTCCAGATTTTAATTTCACATAAAGACTATTTAATTCTTCATCAGCTCGTGTTTCCCGAGCTATCTCCCTGGCTGTTACCGGAAGAGTTTGAATTTGGAAGAGTTGGAATATTTCAACATCATCCTTAATGTTTAAATCTTCGGACTTAAGAGGTAGGCGCGACAGGCAGTCAGCATTACCCTGTTGCTTGATATTTTGATACACAATATCAAACTGATATACTTGCAATATCAGTGCATAATGTAAGAGTCGGGTGGATGTGAGGATAGGAAGTCCTCTTTTCGATTTGAAAATAGCCACTAAAGGTTTATGATCTGTCACCAGAGAAAAGCGTCTTCCCTTTAGATATAGATAAAACTTTTTGACAGCCCAAACAATTAAAAGTGCTTCTTTATCGATTTGGGCGTATTTCTGCTCCATGTTAGTCAGTGTCCTCGATGCAAAAGCTATAGGCCTTTCTGTTCCGTCAGACAAAACATGCAAGAGCACTGCCCCAAGACCTACCGGAGATGCATCAGTAGCTAGCATTAACGGTAATGTGGGATCGTAATGCATTAAAACTCTGTCTGAACAAATTTCCTTTTTCATTTTTCAAAAGCGATTTGGCAGATTTTTGACCAACTCCATTTAACATCTTTTTTTGTTAAATTATTTAATGGATGTGCCAAAGTTGCCAGATTAGGGCAAATTTGGCATAAAATTTCACTAATCCCAAAGAGCTTTTGATGTCTTGGACGCCTTTCGGCGTAGGGGCATTAGCAATTGCCGAAATCTTTTCATCCGTTTTATGCAATCCATCAGCATCAATTTTATGCCCTAAAAATTTAATCTCATTTTGAAAGAATTTACTTTTAGTTAAGTTTAATTTTAGGCCGTGCTCCTTGCATTTTTTGAAAAATATTTCCAATGCGTTTAAATGAGACTGATCATCCGGTCCTGTCACTCGAGCATCATCCATAAAAATTTTAATTCCTTCGATCCCCTGAAATAATCCCTCAACATAGCGCTGCCAAATAGCTGAGGCAGCATTTAATCCATACATTAAGCGTTTACAAATATACAACCCCTTATGCGTGTTTATTGTTAAATAACCGTTGGCTCTCCGGTTGCACCTTCATTTGTAGATATACATGACTGAGATCAAGTTTCGAAAAATTTTTACCTCCATTAAGGCATGAAAATATTTCTTCGAGTTTTGGTAATGGATTCTGTGGCACTTCCAAATTAGGATTCAGAGTCACAGAATAATCAGCACAAAGCCTAATGGAACCATCAGATTTAACAATTGGCACAACTGGTGTTGCCCATTCTGAAGTCTCAACCCTCTCAATGATACCTTCTTTCTCAAGCCGATAAATTTCTGATTCAACTCTATTTTTTAATGCGAAAGGTACCGTCAATTTTTTAAAATTCAATTCACTAGAAGTTTTCAATGTTTTGATGGCATTCCAATCGAGATTGATTTTATACAGCCATTCTCGGCCGAAGATTGTGTCCAAATTTTCCTCACAATGTAAAGATTTTAAACTAATTTTTGACCTTGGTATTCAACTTTAACAGGAACATATCCTAAAGGTACCACCTTATCACCCCTGTAAGTTTTAAAAACTAAATTTGTAGGCTGAATCTTTTTATTGGAATTTTTTCTAAATTTATTTATAGACATTACTGAAACTGTTCCCCCAGTATCAAGTTCCCTGCTAACTGGTTTGGTTCCAATTCTAACTTGAAGCATTATTGGCGGTCTTTTTGGCTCTTCGTCTCTTAACATGTGCATTCTGGAGTTAAATCCATAGATGGGAAACTCACTTTTCGAAACATAATCATTATTTGCCTCAACTTTCTTTTGTTTAACCTGTCGGTTTTTCCTAGACAAATAACACGCCTTTTCGATATGTCCAATTTTTTTACAAAAGCGGCATTCACTTGTTGCAAATCTACAGTTGTTTTTATTGTGATTTGCTCCTAAGCAACGTGAACAAGTTTCATTTTTACCTTCTTATTATTCTTAGCAACAAAAGTTTTGTTTCCGCGGTTTGGACTCATTTTTCTTTTTGGTTTTAAGTACTCTTCAGTTCTACGGAATTTCCTATAATCTCATTTGCACCCTTAACCGCCTTTCTCATCGCCAAGGCTATCTTTAATGTTTTTTTCTCTGAATCGATATCATCTTCCTGAAATAATCGATTTAAGATATTACGATCTCGTAGACCGCTAACGAAAACATCCCTTAACATTGTATTTAGCATATCCTCTTTATATTCACAAGGAATCGCTAAAGAGCATAATTCAGTGACATAACTACTAATTGATTCCCCCTCATGCTGTTTTCTATTAATAAACATGTGCCGACTAGGTATTATTAAAGCTTTTAGGATTTAAATGATCATCCTTAAGAACCTTTTTTAGTTTGGTAAAATTTTTATCTGAAGGATTATCCGGAGAGAGTAAATTTTTCAACAAATTACACAATTTCGCATTCAAGCTTGAGATCAGAACTTTCCCATGCTTTGCCTCTGGAACATTTTGAATGTCCAAAAAAGCCTCAAATCGTTCTATGAACGAATCAAAATTTTCTACTGTTTCATCGAACTTATCAAAAGAAACAGAAATTCTGTCTTGTTTATGTTCCGATTTCCCTTGCAATGCGACCATTAAAGCTTCATTCTGCTTTATCAATTCTTCAATTAACTTCTCCATCCTTTCAAAATAAAAATCAAATAACTTTCCTACCTTTTGCAGTTTTCGGGGGAATCCCCTAATCCAAGTTTCAGTTTTGCCACTACTTACACATGTAACCGAGTGCGCCGAGTCGGGAACGATTTTCTTCTCACACAGCCTTCGTCGCCAAAATGTTGTGTCTTAGCAGGTGTGGGTTTCAGTGAAATGCATGACGCAACCAAAACAAACTAGTTCACGGCACAAACATTTATTTCTAACTAACTAACTAGTAAGACAGCAGTGATGCGCTATTTACGCAGTTACATTACATTCTACTCTTACTCTCGTTCACAGAGGTTCTCGGGTATAAGAGTACTGATACTCTCGAAATCATATGCTACAAGTCACAAATGTAATGAGAAAAAATACAGGAATAACAGTTAATTTATATCTTGTTCATAAAAACAAAAGGTGGCTTATTGAAGGTCAATCAAGATTACTTCAAATGAAATGACAAATTTTATGAGTGTATTCTGATGTCATACTTATTCAGATTATAAATAATGCTGTTTGGCGACAGATCCATCATCAATAGGATAATACGCATATACGTTAGTCTAAAAGTTGTTTCAGCTTTACATGATCTTAACAAATAGTCTTCTTAACACTATATAGATTCTTAGATATCACTTGTACCTTTAAAAGGAGGTAAATCTATTGCTTTCAGCATTAGAAAATAACAGTTGATAATTCTTTTCTTTTTTAACTTTTATATTAAAAGTTAGAAAAATACAAACTACAAATTTACAATTTAAAGAATAATAATATAAACAAACTGACATTTATTTTACCTTTTCAATAGCAGTAAGGCTTTCTGCATCAGCTAAATTATCAACAGCAATAGCTAAAAATACATTCAATAGAATATCTACAATAGTTAAGATTAATACAGCAATACACCTAACTTTAAATAAAAATGTATTAAAAGCATTATATGATTATTCTAGAAAACAGAAATAAAAATTTCATGCCATTAGCTGCATCTCTTATACAAGCACAGACACTTTTAAATTATTTGTAGAATAATAAATTTATTTGATAAAAATATATTTACAGGTAATTTGAAATCGCAAAAATTGGCAATTTTTGGCGGTACATGGATGCAGAGTTTGTGCAATTCTTTTAAAAATCGCTGCTACACAAAGCCAAAATAACAAGTCAAAGAATTGCACAAACTCAGTATCCATGTATACATCGACCTATTTTGACTTTAAAAAATTTAAGAAAATTGCACAAACTTGGCATGCGTACTCCCTTGACTTTGTCCATGTACACATCGAACTATATTCACTTAAAAAGTCAAAGGAGCAGCCATTAAAAAAATATGCAATCTAAATAAGCTACATTTTAAATCAAACAATGAAATAACATAAAAAAGGAAATTCATCTTTTCACTGCACAAAGGAAATATCCACTTACCTTCTTTATGAATTAACATGTCTTCAGTCAAACAAAATTCCTTAACAGCATCCAAAAACTTCCAAAAATTATCTGAACTAGAATCTGTATACTGGCATTATCACATAAATTCACAAAATAAGAGTAAAAAATATCGGTTAATCTTTGGATTTTGGTAACTTGGCAATTTTTAGGCGAAAATTTAGCAACCAACCCTGCTACAGCAACCTGCTAGTTTTTGTTTGGACGCCATTTTGTTTTCACGAAGTAAAGGCATTTTTTTTTTTTTTTACTCAACATTTTTTTCCAACAATCTGTTAGCCGAATTACGCTTATGCTAAAACTTCTATGGAACAAAAGTGCTTAATCATGACGAAAATTAGGTACGAAATTGGGATAAAGTGCAGAATCGCAAACTGCTTGCCGCGTTTTTAAGAATTGCACATACACGGTAACCATGTACACGTTGACCTATTTTCACTTAAAAAAACATCCCAGAATTGCACAAAAATGGCATTGCGCACACTCTTGACTTTATCCATGTACACTGTTAAAGTCCTAGTTAGTAACCTTTATCGCCTTACCAAAATGTCGCCAAATGCCTGTTACCATATTCCAAAGATTAGCCAAAATATCCTCCGTAGCGCCATTATCTTCTGACATTCGACCATATGCAATTCCTTCCAACAAACAGGACACTTAATAATGGCTACTAAGTAAACCTTCATTTACACACCAGTTAAGTAATGCTCTTTTTCCCTTTCTTTTCAAATCATACAGAAACTTCAAATTAATCTTGCTACATTCAGCCATTTTACCATCTAAACCACAAAAAAAGCAATATACTTCCTAACCAACACACCCCCCAAGCCCTTATGAATTTATCGCAATCATGCAACTGATTATGTCGTAGTAGGTTTTTCAATAACATTCAACTACTCAGGCTACCATGAATGAAACAACAACTTAACGATAAATGAAACAATTTCGCGATAATACACAGGGTACTTATCTCTACTCTAACCATTCATTTTACCAACTTACGAAGTGTTACATACCTGTAAATTATTGTACATAAGATTATTCATACACCTTTAAAAAATAGATCTAAATGAATGTGATGTGTAATTTAAAATTCAGACATCAAAGCACCTAAAAAAATTTCCATTTTCTCAGAGCTCCAAATATCTTCACATAAAAAATGAAACTTTTATATTCAATATCACATAAAAAGATATAATTTTATTAAGCTGTCAGAGCTAGAAACATGTACATAAACTAATAAAATCTAGGGACATAACTATGATTTTTACTTTAAAATAGGTTTTTCAATGCTGTAATGACTGCATCATCTATAATCTTAACTTGTATTATCATCACCAAACAAACGGGATAAGGTTAGGACTCAGCCATCTTTTGCAGCAGTTGTTACGAATACAAATCCAGCAAGAACAATGGAAAATGACCAAGTGCCTGTTCTAAAATAACAGATTATAGGCATATGCAATAAGTACACATATAAAAGAGCAAAGACGGAGATTCCCCTGAAATGGAAATTATATTTCAAGATTTTAAATTTTATTCTTGTGATTTCCTACTGCACTTTGAAACATTGAAATTTGAAAGCCAGTATAATATAAAAATGAGAAAACACCCCAATTTTTTCAATGATTATTGTTTTATATTTTGATGCAATAAATCTATTCATAATTCTACACATAAAACAAGTACATAACATGTGGAAGTGTGGCAGGTATGCATTGACGGAGGATTTTCTAAGGGAAACTAGCTGCATTCAGTAAATTACATATTAGCTATTACATACATAACACTTAAATAAAATTATTTTAAAACATAATTTTTTACTGATTAAAGACATAATCAAATATAAATACAAAGATTTTATTAACAAAAAATTTTTAAACAAATTATAAAATTCCATATTGTAAATATCTCTACTATAATAATTTGAGGTTAAAATGCGGTTTAGCCCACTGCTTGGCGATTGTTTTTCAATGGGCAATAAAGCCGCCAACATGGCTAACCCGATGTTTTGAAGCTGTGTTGTTATTCTGTTGCCACTAAATGTTATCGCCCTGTGTTATATTTAAAGAAGAAATTAAATATTGAAAAAATCTGCATAAATGTTTCTCGCATGTGTGATTAAAACAAACGGTACCTAGAGCCATCAAATTTTGAAATAACATACGTTTCCAACCTAATATGGGTATCTGGAAGCCCAAACTTGGAATTTTTTTTTATTATCTGATTGATATTTTGTAAAAACTTGAACGATATTTTTGATTAGCAAACTCAAGATTTCAAAGCGAGCAACGGCAACACAGTGCGAGAAAAAAAAAACAATTTTTACGTGCAGAGTCCATAACTGTGTATCGGAAATTCTAAAGATATGCTCATTTTTTAAAATTATATTTGCGATATTGCTGTTGAACTGAATTTTATGGTTTAAGTGTAAAGAACATTATATTTGATAAAGAAAGGTAACACACAAAATGTTAAAAAAAAACGCCCCTTTGGGCGTAATGTAATGTAAATCTAAAAGCTTTCATTTTTACAAATTTATTTATTATTTTATTTTTATTTTTACTTGTTAATTCTGTTGCGGTTTGAATATTCTTATGCGGTGGTTCTTTTTTTAATCGAGTGTTTCCCCCCCTGTGGGTTTTAGCCTTTTTTCTGCATATATTACGGAAACGGCGTATAAAACGTTAGTAAATTTATTTAAAGATGAGGAGGGATCCAAAAGGATTTCCCCTGAGATAAATTCATATATAAAACCCCTCTAAAACACTTTACATTTTTCTTGAAAAGGGTAAGTGAAAAAATTTTTCTTGTATGGTTCGTTTTAAAGTTGCTTATTTTTAATATTTTGTATTTCTTTTTGGCTCAATCCTAGACGATTGGAAAAGCTGACGTTGTGCTATTCTCTGATGTTTTTTTTTAATGAAAGTAGATCGATATGTACATGGGCAAAGCCAATGCAGTGCGCAATGCCGACGTTGTGCGCGATGCCGAGTATGTGCAATTCTGGGATGTTTTTTTGAAGTGAAAATAGATCGATGTGCACATGGGCAAAGCCAATGTAGTGCGCAATGCCGAGGTTTTGCGCGATGCCGAGTTTGTGCAATTCTGGGATGTTTTTTAAGTGAAAATAGATTGCACATGGCAAAGCCAATGTGGTGCGCGATGCCGAGTTTGTGCAATTCTGGGATGTTTTTTTAAGTGAAAATAGATCGATGAGCACATGGGCAAAGCCAATGTAGTGTGCAATGCCGAGGTTGTGCGCGATGCCGAGTTTGTGCAAATTCTGGGATGTTTTTTTAAGTGAAAATAAATCGATCGATTGTGCACATGGCAAAGCCAATGTGGTGCGCAATGCCGAGTTTGTGCAATTCTGGGATGTTTTTTAAGTGAAAATAGATCGTTGTGCCCATGGGAAAAGCCAATGTGGTGCGCAATGCCGAGGTTGTGCGCGATGCCGAGTTGTGCAATTCTAGGATGTTTTTTTAAGCGAAAATAGATCGATATGCACATGGGCGAAGCCAATGTGGTGCGCAATGCCGAGTTTGTGCAGTTCTCTAATGTTTTCTAAGTAAAAACAGATCGACTTGCACATGGACAAAGCCAAGGCAGTGCGCAAAAAAAGTGTTGTAATTATCTGAATTTTTAATCTTATTTAATTGACTTCAAATTGTATAGCAGGCTTTTCTATACACTGTTTTGGTATGCATAGTGACGATATCTCTTTAAGATGCACGCAAATAAATTTAGCAAAATGAAACTTCGCATGAATCATGCATTTTGCGAGAAATAAACTTCCATGTTGAATGAAAATGTTGAAATTTTCTACGAGGTTTAAACCTCTCGCATTTGTTGTGAATTACACGTAGCGTTAAGCGAAACTAATGGTATTTTGTGTTTTAAATTTAAATTCAGATTTTTATTTTTATTTTTTTAATTTCATTAATTTGTCGTTTTTTTTAATTCCTACCTACCGTTGACAATATACTTATTGTAGCTTTAGATATCGAAAAGCCATGGCTTTCACAGCGTTTTTTAATACTAGATACGAATAAATTTTCGAAGAGAGCACAAATGTCCGAAGACAAATTGTCAAGTAGCTGACGATTTTATGTTTTCAAAAAAATATCTGAAAGTAAAAAGAATTCAAGCAGACGATTTCTCTTGGAATTTTTACTTAGTAATTTGGGCAGTTAATTCAGTGCAGTTTGAAGTTTTTTGGTAGTTATCAATCGGTGGTTTATCTGTGTGTTTTTAACATTTTTCTGAATATTTCGTTAAATAAACAATCGCATGGATTTATCTGTGATGCTGAGAGAGGTGAGTGAATGAAAACATGTAAATTTATTACTTTATTGGAAATGAAAGGGAAACGTGCCGTCATTGTCAAAAAAGACTTTTATTTCCTGAAAAGGGTAAGTGAAAATA